TGAAAAAAATGTTTTTTGAGGTGGGAAGAAAGTATATTATTACTGAAACAAATGTGCATGAATAGAGACAATTAAAAGGAAAACGCAAGAATGCTGAGTCCACACAGAAAAAAATGGGAGTCCAAAACAAGGGTGTATTCCTGAGTTTGATCAACAAGTTCTCAAGTACATTCAAGAAAAGAGAAAGGAGGGAATGCCAATCACCCTCCAAGTGCTTCAATTCAAAGCATTAGATATAGTGAAGCAATTGAACATTCCCCTTAAAAGTTCAAAGCAAGTAGTGAGTGATTTATCCGAATGATGTGACATAGTGGCTTAGCCCTGAGATGAAGAAGATCACTTACACAAAAGTAACCATCAGACTGCAGTGAAAAACATATTGAATTCCAGCGGTACATTATTGGGCTATGCAAAACTCATGCCCACTTTCTGGGCCAGTTAGGTAATACTGATGAGACTCCAGTCTATTTTGACATGCAAAGCAATGTCATCATCCATGAAAAAAGGTGCAAAATACATATTTATAAGAAATACAGGAAATGAAAAGTCACAAATTACAGTGATGTTAGCAGTATTGGCAGATGGGAGAAAATTGCCACCTTATGTGATTTGGAAATGCAAAACCCTGCCAAAATAAAAATTGCCACCAGGAATAGTGGTTAGATGCCAGAAACAAGGATGGATGTCAAATGAGCTGATGAATGACTGGTTTGATGCTGTGTGGAAACAGAGACCTGGGGCACTGCTAAAGAAAAGAGGAATATTAGTGATCGTTCACAAGACATTTAATACCGGAGGATGCGTGTGAAAGTGCCCAGTCCTAAATTGTCAGGACTAAAAAAGGAGTAGCACCAACCATGATCTGAATAGAACTTAATACAGATTGAGTTGAGATGATGTCTGAATTGAATCAAAGCTAATGTTGAATTTATGATTTACTGGTATTGCTATAGTTTTTGTCAGTATGTCTGCTTATTAAAATAATACCAATTTTTTTCCTTATGTGGAATCTAATTATTGGGGGGTCATCTTGAATTCAGGGTAGTCTTAGATTTGAGTAAATACAGTTAGCACCTTGTCTGAAATGGTTACATCACACCCATGTTTTTGGTAAATGTGATAAAAAACTGGGCATAATGAGCTTACATAGAATTAAAGTTAGTGGATGGTTGTGCAGGATCAAGACCCAGGGGTGGCCTCAATACTCTCTGGTAGCCACATGGCCCCTGCCCCACTCTGGCTCCTTAGGGTACCCTCCCTTTTAACCTCAGTTGCCATGCTTTGATGTTTCTTATGGAGTTTAGTGAGGCTGCCCCAGGGTCCCAAAGTGAGCCTCAAGTCTTCTATCAGCCAGTTTGTCTTGCCCCATAGGGCACTAAACTGTGGTCCTCCTGGCCCTGTTAGTGCCTCAGGACTCAGCAACTGCCTCATAAACTGTATTTGTGCCCTCCTGCCTTGCAGGTGGTACTTGGTCATTTTGGAGGGGACCCTGATCCCACCGCAACACTTGGTACCTTTAGGCCTCCAACCTTTGTTGGAGCTTCTAGTTCCTGCCCAACTGCTGCCTACATGGCAAGGTTGGCCTGATGCACTTTCCCCTCAGAACAACAGGAACCTCTGGATCCCTGTTGCAATGGTACTAACAATTTTTTTTAAATTTGACTTCGATGAATATATTCCAAAGCATAATACTCCCATTCTGTGTTTAGCAATCCAGCGTATAAGAGACTTCCAGGCTTGCTTATGCTCCATGTAATCGGATTATTTCCATTCTCATGTTTTGATTCTTGCATATGGGTTCTCTTTAAAAAATTGAGTGAGAGGGAGAAACAGGAGAGGAAGAAGGTGGAACAGAGACAAAGAGGCTGGAGTGAAGAACCTATTATCTATTCTGTTCTATTTTGTTATCACTATGGCGATTTGATTTCCTTTTGGTCGTGAATTAAATGTCACTGTTTGCTCATTCAATTCTTCTTTCTCCTTTCATCTGGAGTGGGTTCATACATATATGAATAGTATAATATGTTCTTACAAGCAGTATACATATGTGTGTATATACATTGAGTTTCTTGCTGCTTGTTTTTATTAATGAAGGTGGATTAAAAAATTATCCTGTGTACTTAGAATATAAAGCGAGGAGGTTTTGTGGTAGCTTTTAGATGCTGCCTTAGGTCATTCCTCACCATTGGACTAGTTCTTGAGAAAAATATGAATCCCAACTAAATAAGTTTGCCTTCCCTCCAGCTTTTTTTTTTTATCTAATCAATTCTTTGAACTTGATATAGAATATTTGTTGTGGGTGAAATGTAAAGTCTGTGATATACATGAAGTTAGACCAGATGATTTTAAGGTCCAGTCTGGTCTTAATTTCTAGGAAGTATAAACCTTCATTGCCCTAGTTCTGGAGCGATGATTGTGGGATTTGTTTCTGATTTGCCTGTTTGCTTTTAAGTATTTTGAAGATGAGGGATGGTTCTGAGGGAGGAGGCTGGGAACAGGCAATAGACAAGGACAGGCTGGAGGGGCCAAGGACAGGAGGATCTATAACCTGGAGTAAAACTCTCTTCAGACCCTAGAATAGAGCCCAGAATATTTGAATCTCAACATTTCTTTAACTTCAGCAAATAGGTGAGAAACCTACTGGCAAATGTTGCTTTATATTGCTCCAGTACCTTTCCCTTGTGGATGGGACAACTTACTATTGCTATCAGTTATTCTCCTAAATCATGTGGCAGTAATTTGTACTGTTGATCCCTGAGAGAAACCATATGGGAGGCAACATTGTTACATAGAGTGGAATTTCAGGCGTTTTCTTGGTTTACAATAATAATAATAATTACTGCAGCCATAGAAGGTTAATGTTGCTAAGTCAAGTACTCAAAAGTTACAAATACTAGTACAATCAAATCTACCCACTTATTCATATACACTTGGATGCTACATTTTAATTAAATGCTCATATTTTCCCTGTAGGGTCTGCCTGATTCAGTGCATAGGTTGAAGGGAATTAATCAAGGTTGTGTAATTAAGGAGCGTATTTTGTGTCAGACCCTGACTTCTTTTGTTACCAAAGTTGGGAAGTATTTAGGAACTGAGGCTAGGGATTGTAGATGGAGATAAAATGGTCTCATTGAAAAAGAAATCTAATGTCGTCTTGGAGACATGCATGGATTTTTATCACTGAATTTGCCCCAGAATTCCAGCATGATATCGGATGCATCGCTTAATATGTTCTAAAGATTGCTTTTAATCATGTGGTTGTCTTGCTGTATTCCCAGCTAGAGAGCCTGCGGTTTGATTGGTATTAGTGGTAGGTACTTACATTACAGCAAAAAACCATTGGGATCTGCATGTTGAACATGTTACAGTCTATATAAAGCTAGGAGCCATGAAAAGTCAGAACCCAAGTATATCAGATTGCGCACCTAAAATTAATGGACACTTTCCCCCTTTATTTTATTCATGTATCTTGGTGTTTCAATTCTTCATCTGTAAAATGAGGATAATATCACCCCTTACCTCCTAGGTAAAATAGTGGCTGAGGAGCTCACAGATACTGTAGTATTTAGAACCACAGGAAGGCCCATGAGGAAATGAATATTTCTGTCTTCAGAGATGGGTTTGAATAAGGTGAAGGAAGCAAGGCATGGGACAACATGCAGAACAGCAAGGATAAAACACAGTACTGGATCATAGAAAATTAGGGTTGGAAGGGACCACAGAAGGTCATCTATTCCACCCCCCATTCAAAGCAGGACCATCCCTAACTAGATCATCTCAGCCAAGCCTTTGATTTCTCAGGTCTTAAAAACCTCCAAGGATGGAGATTTCACAATCCATGAGCAACTGGTGCCTCCTGCCATAAACTATTTGTTTATGCAATTAAGATACTAATATATTATAATGCATTGAAATAAGGGCTCTGAATTTAGCATGCAAGGACAACCTTAATGTAGGCATTTTCTACTTTCTTAATGTTTGTCTCTTCGACCTTTAACTTCTTTTAACGTACTTTTTTTGTACACAGTGGCTATGAAGCTATTGTAAGTCAAATATTCAAAATGGTTACTTGAGAACTACAACTCCATTTTCTGTGTCAAATGAAAAGTCATGGGTGCTACTTAAAAATTAATCTAATCTGGCTTCCTAGCAGCTATGAATATTCAAAATAGTGAACATAATTCCCTTGCAAAAGCTGATAAACTGTACCTGATTTTTTTTTCTATGGTGGGTGGGGGCTCATTAGAAATTGTATGTTATTAGCAGTTTTCCTCAAATTGCAAATTTCCATCATACTAGTGTTATGGTAATGATGAAATTAAATGAAATTAGCATATCATATAGCATACAGCAAAAGTACGAATACATTATAGTAATACAAGGCAACAGATAATTACTAGCTTAATAAGAATTTGTCCTCAGCAAAGATAACCCAGCGTGTTTCTTCTTCCTATTATCATGGACAAATTTCACTCTTATTGATTAACTCCTCGTGTTCTTTAAATTCAATCATTAGTCCTACTTGTTTATATGAAAATGTCTTGGGTCAAACCACACTTTGTTCTGTATCAATATACACTTTAACCAGTGTGTTTGTCTCAACCTGCATTCCTATATATACATTTTCAGGTAACTTTAGTGAATGGCCCCTCATTCGTTCAATTCAGAGAACTTTTCATCACATTTTTTTTGTATATATGGGTTTTTTTGCATAAATTGTACCTGTTCTTTTTTTCTCCCAAATTAAATTGTTGATCTTTCCTCTTGGCGAAAGAAACATATAATTGTTAACAGAGACTTTATAACAGGATTCACTATAATAAATGTTTTCCTTAGTATTTGCTCTTTAATGAGCTTAGGGTTGAGGGGGATCATTTGAATTACAGATATGTTTTCTATTTCTGTCCAACATTTTATAGATTTAATGAAATTATCAATTTACTAGGTGTACATTCACTCCCAATCATAACTTGTTCTAATTTTCTTTTTTTTCCTTGCAGTTCCTCCATGGTTTTTAATTCGTCCTTCAAATCTCTATGCGTATGAGAGTATGGATATTGAGTTTGAATGTGCTGTCTCTGGTAAGCCCGTCCCTACAGTGGATTGGATCAAGAATGGAGAAGTGGTGATTCCTAGTGATTATTTTCAGATTGTGGTAATTATCCGACCTTTTGTCATTACCAGTGCACTGCTCGACTGATTGTTCAGCATGTTTCCATTGTTCCGTTATTTATTCTTTTCATAATGGACATTATGGGCATTAGTAATTTTATACAAACAAGAAACATCTAACCAGAACAGATGTGCTCTCTCCTGCTGCCTGATGGAAAGAAGAAAAATTGCATCATCCAAAGACCTTTGAAGTTATCATGCTAACTTCAGTGGGATTTGGATGCAGTCCTTATTTCTACACTTAGTGGTGGTTTAGATTTTTGTTTAATCTTTTTTATGGAGATAGCACTAACCATAAATTTTGCATCATACTTCTAATTATTAATTAGAATGAAAAATAATAATCACAAGCAATGGACATAGCTACAGTCATGTTAAGGTGCTTTATGGGCAAGATGTTATAGGTCCCTATTCCAAAGGAATTACACCCTGAGATACAAGATAGATAGTAAGGGAACAAATGGAAAGAAATATTAATAGGAAGATGACAATTTTCAAGTTAGGGGAACAAAGATTAGATTACAAGTTACTGGTACTTTGATTATCTGCATAAAAAAGATGCTCTTTCAAATTACAGAAAGAGGGGGTATGACGCAGTGTAACAATCAGAATAAATAAGGACAAAGGAGAAGCAGGGATTTAAAAAATGGAAGCTCCTCCTTCCAAGATGCACTGCAACGTGGATTATTTTTAGGTAGACTGAATGAGAAGGGTGAAGATCTTACATGGGAGCTCAGAATTCATGTTTTTATTGGGAATTCGCAGAAGTGTGCCAGTCCTTTTGGTTTCTCAACATTTTGTTCCCTGTGAAATGTCATTTGGAATCAACGGAATTAAAAGTGAAAATGCAAGCCTTTTGCTGCAGGTCCATTCAGCATACTGATCTAAAAACTATCTGTGGGGGGATGCCAGTTGAACAGGCCTGCGGCGAAAGGCCTGCATTTTCACTTTCAGAGTGGAGTGACTCTACTTTTGCCCTGGAATAAAGTGCAATTACTCTACAATAAGTATGTTGCAAATGTGAACCCTCTGATGTAACTCCCAATGTTTTGCTTTCAAAGAAACTGATTGATTTTCACTGATAGACAGTTGCCACTCTGAGATCAAATTATGTCTGGGAAAGAAAGAAGTAACTAAACGGCGGTATAAGTTTTGCAGTGTACTAGTGAGATGTGTGCGCCCTTAGTCCATTTCAACTCAAAATGGCATCTTGTTCAGATCCCCTGCCCCTAGTGGACAGCTGGTTTTGTATAGATGGTTAGTTATCTACCCCTTTATTATAGTCAGTTTACTCAGTGTAGTAAAATCTGGAGTAAATTTCTCCATAGTAATCATGTTATTTCTATATGACATTAACAGTAGAAATGGCCATTTGACATCTGCACAACTTTCTCACCAGGACAAATTACTGAACATGTGAACCAAAATGACATACCTATAAACTTATAGCTGAAGCATGATTGGGAAGATTTTCAAAAGCATTGGCTTAATTCTGCTGTCATGTCAGTCAGCGGGAGTTTAATCACTGACTTCTATGGAAACAGAGATGAGACTTCTGAACACTTCTCAAACTCTCACCTTGAATGTGTTTCTACTTAGTATCAAGTGGCTGTGAGAATATGTAGAGTGAGGCCATGAACACATACTCTTTTTTTTTCTTTAAACAACTGCTCATGAGACATGCTCACCTCTTAAACTAAAGATCAGATCTTTTTGGGGCACTCATTTTTTTTTAATTGATGCACTTTCCAGTAAATAAGATAAGCTACTCACAAGCTGGTTAAGCATCTTCTAATTAATAAAAGTTACTTCATGACATCTTTTTCTTATGAAGAAGACATACTCCTTTGTATGGCATCATGCACTCATGTTACTTTGCACATGTCTTTGTTTTACTGTTCAGAAATCAGACAGCATTAAGAGAGTAATGAGAAAATCTTGAGAAATGCCAAGTCCCGTTTTAGGTAAAATGGGGAGAGGGGATTATCCTTTCATAAACTCAAGAAATGTTTTGGCCAAGGCCTAGCTCTCACAAAATCTTTTTAAGAATTATCTCTTAAAAAGCCAATATTCACCCCATCGTGTAATTCAGCCTGTGCCTGCAGCAGCTATGAACTGAAATCCTTTCCAACAGCTGCACATGATAACTGGTCCTTCCAGTGCTGTCAATCTCCAGGTCTCTTGCCCTATCAGAGGGCCTGACCTTCAGAATGCTATTAAAAAAAGTTGGAGGCTCTTTTGCATCCTTCCCAACACAAAGGCCAATGTACTGCCTACCAAAGCCTTTATGGATGTAGCTAACATGTTGCAGAGGGTCTTGGGCTGGCCCTCTACACCAGAGTGTATTGTACCCTGAGGGCACAAACCCCTGCTAACAAAGTGGTGCAAAAAGAACAAAAGGAGTCAGCAGATTTCTAATGCATGTGCATTTTAGTCCAAACCTTGGGAGGCCCAGCCTGCCTGAGTGGTGGCCGAGGGCTCCTATGTTGGCACTGCTGTTTCATAACCAGGATGCAGTTGAAGTTCCTTAGTCAGGTACACTCCATTCAGTGGCTTTGTCTAATTAATTCCCTCTACCTCCCCTTTCCTCTTTCTCTCTCTAGGGTGGCAGCAACTTGCGGATTCTGGGCTTAGTAAAGTCAGATGAAGGTTTTTACCAGTGTGTAGCTGAAAATGATGCTGGCAATGCACAGACCAGTGCGCAGCTAATCATCCCCGAGCCTGGTAAGATGCAAAGGACACACAGAATCATATCTGTAATTAATACTATTAGCATCAAAATCCCAGCTGGGCACCTCTGATTTTTGCTCCCTCTGCTTTCACACTTACAGTCCTATTAAAAAATATTTAGTTTGCCGGATGGCTTATCTTGGAACAGCAGGGTCCCTGTCTGCATGAAGGGAGGCTTAGGTCTGTCTTGGTGTAACCTTGAGCCTCTTGTTTGCTGGGACAATTACAGATGCTAGGTGCATCCAAGACATGACACCAGAGGTCACATTCCCTGCCTGAAAAATCAAAGACGTGTCTTGCCTTTCGCCCACTGGGTTCATCTTGCTGATATACGAGATGAGGCTGGGAATTATATAGGCCAGGGGGACGAGAAAAGGTTTGGAAGGAAACAGCCCATAAAGAATGGACAGAAAATACACATGGCTCCACATTAAACAGTCTTAGAATATTTGTTTTAAGGGAATAAGGGGTAAAGTTTTTCACTGGAATAAGCAAGATAGCAAAGTGGCATATGTAAAAGGTTCATATTTCTTTTATGGGAAGAAGGTGGGGGTGGATATAGTTCTGTCACACTAAAATGAAGAGATTTGCTTGTATTACAAGCCACCCCTTTTTGTGCCAGAACTAGTGGGGACTGTGTGTTTCTGTATTTGAAATTAAACCAGGTAAATTTATGACTTCTTCAGTCGGATTATGTAAAACGTGCATAAACACCACACATCTGATTTCCGTGTTTTGGGTAGAAATGTGCTTTGGAGTTTATTTCTTCTGTGATTGTGTGTGCGCAGAGTTGTGTCACAGTGAGCTGTGAAGAAGCAAATGCTCAGAAGTAACATTCAGCCACCTGCTGACATGGACTGGGAAAGGTAGAAATGTATTGTAGAAAAAGTAGAAACAGTTGTTCATTATTTAATGACAGCTGTGAGGATCTTCTCTGATCTCCTTCAGTGTATGCTGCAGCATTTCTTTTGCCAAGCATATATGAGCAATTATATATATATTTGTGTGTGTGTGTATTTTGTATATGTGTGTGTGTGTGTGTGTGTGTGTGTGTGTATAGGCTTTAGTCAAATCCTGCCCTTATTTAAAAACAAAACAAAAAACAATAAAAACTGCAGTTTTCTCCAGTAAGAGGCCATAAATATATAAACCCCATGCACCGTGTTTAGGCTGTTACAGTGGGATACAACAATAATATTGTTGAGGTGTTCAAGACCACTGATTTCTATAAGGACCTGGATCTCTCAGGCTGTCATGCTCTAAACTGTCATATGAAAGGTAGTTGCACTACAGCAAAAATGCAGCTGTTAACTCCCTGTGGATACAACTAAGATGACTCTGCTAGGGTACAGTGCTCCTCACTGAGTATTTGTATATCTCATCTTCCTGGTTCACAAGTTTCTGCACTCATCTACATAGAATGAACAAACAAATGGAAAAAGGGTGAATGATCCTTTCTTTTTACACGTGTGCAGAATGAATAGCCTGAGCACAAATATTACACCTCTTAGAAGTCTGTCTGGCCCTTATTTTCTCACTGTGGCTGTCCAACACTTGCTCCACTAGCTCCTTCTTTTCCTTGACTCTCCAAATATGAAACAGGCAGCTCTTTATCCCAAACCTCCAGCTTGCTCCCCTGTGCAGCAAACACAGATCTAGCTGTGATCTGTGCCCTACTACCAAGGAATACAGCTATATGGCATACAGAGACACCTGGACAGGACAGAATTGGAGGACAAACCTATGGAAAGAATTATGATTGCTAATGAGATGCTTCATGGCGCTCTCTGTACTCAGACTGTCAATAGTCTGCGTGAACTTTGTGGTGATGCAGAAGGTTTGGATGGCCTGCTGCTGTCTGTCTGGCATGTTGCATTTTGCTTCATGTTTATACACACAGATGAGCGTTTCTCCTCTCCTTTCTTTGCAGAATCACCAGTGACTAATAGTGACTCTGGCTTCAAGTGGGAATTAAGAAGGTTCTTTACTGTCAAAGTAAATATACCTATCACTTAGCCCCCCTGGTATTTAAGAAGGGCAGCTGGGACCAGAGAGATGCAACGGCACTCAGAAAAACAACTTTCTAGCTATTAAACCTCACCATGGGGAACTGCAGCATTTTGTTGTTTGTTTCTGGTCTGGTTTAAGTTGAATCTCGCATTCATCACATGCATGCGGAGTATATTTAGACAGGTGCGAGCCTGGAGGAAAGGGGCTATCCTCCACTGTAATGTAGTTTAATCTATCACTAGGACCAGCCTAAAGGAAACGGGATCATTCATTACTGCTCCCACATAGGTGTTCAAATGCTGTCAGTAAATTCTGCACTCTTGGTCAGGGTTTATTATGTTTGGCATTGGTTTACAATGAAGGGAAAAGAAAATGAAGACAAAACCCTAAAGAGCTATGGGACACCATTGTAACTGTCTCCATTTCCCTTTATAAATGATGGATTACTTTTTCCTGGCTATTTAATCAGATCTTCAAACAATGCCACTCCAATTCCTCTGAGATGTTGAGAAGGCCAGCATGCACAGATGGTAGAGAAGCCAGCTATAAATACAAATTAAGTGATGGGGCTGACCACGGTAAGAAGAACATAGCCTTCTCTGTTTAAATTTTGTCAATATATGGTCACCATATATTTCACACTCAGTGTGAGCTCTGCATTGCACAGCTGTTCGATTTTGGCCTGTCCACAGGCGTCAGACTAAGGGTTACCCTTGGCAACCGTGACAATCTGCTTCTTGCCGAGGCAGAGACAATGACCTATTAAAGCCAGCATTTGCTGTTGGTGGGTAGTTATGAGAGCCTAATGAAGTTTCAATATAGTCTTTTATAATTAGTTGTCAACCCCTTTTTGCAACCATTAATTTAGAAGGAAGAAAGTCCAAAACATGTAAAAGAGCTTACTGAGTTTTCTTTCTATGAAAGCTAGGATCAGGCCTACGAAGAAAACCTGTTAGATAAAATAATAGCGTGCTTATTCCCTAAGTAACATTGTGGGGAGAACAGACAATCCTTTTTTTTTTCCCCCTAGGCAAATTATAGGGCTATGGCTGCTGGTTTTTAATTAACTGTAATAATAATTACATTATTATTCTTCAATTAAATGCAAATGTTGTTGACCAGGAGGTGGATTAAAAGTAGGTGTCTCCATCCATGTAAGGACTAATGTATTCACTCTCAGGGGATGGCTAATATTATGGCCTTGTGGAGGGGTAAACTAGAGATACTTAAGGTCTTTTTCTGTCTCTAGATACAATCATGCTGCTCTAATTAAAAATCCTACATTTTGCCATATAGGCATATGGGTTATACAGCTGATTCTCATCCCACTGAACAGTGAAATCAGGAGCAACATCACTAGAGTCAGGTATAAAAACAAATGTAGACAAAACCCGAGTCCGGGCCATAAATAATGTCCAGTGTACATACCGCAGTATGCTAAACTCAAACTGGACAATGCTAAAATGAGCAATGCAAGCCAACTGGGTGGTGAGTTTACACAGATAATAACCTTTACTTCTAGATATCCAGCCAGGGTTATGGGATACTAAACACCATTTAGATATGTATTGGTTAGACATTCAGAAGCTAGTGGACCCCTGGGACAAGAAAATAGCTGAGATTATGACCTTTGAGGCACTGTACTTAGCACTATGTATGGGTAAATATCAAGTGTAGAGGTAGTCTACAGTGTACCATTTAATCAGCCCATCAGAACTGTGTTCCAAGACTGAAACACTGAGAAAAGATAATTCTCTTCCCCTTTCTCTTATGAGGACAGGGGAGTGATCCAGGCTGACCTTAACAGGCTCAGGAAATGGGCAGATGAGAACCTGACGGTGTTTAACACTGAAAAATGCAAGGTTCTCCACCTTGGGAAGAAGAACCTGCAGCATGCTTATAGGCTCGGCAGTGCTACGCTGGCTAGTACTATGGACAAACGGGACTTGGGGGTCATGATTGGCCACAAGATGAACATGAGCCTTCAATGTGATGCTGCTGCTAGTAAAGAAAGCAAAACGCTGGCTTGCATCCACAGATGCTTCTCAAGCAAATCCCGGGACGTCATTCTCCCGTTGTACTCGGCCTTGGTGAAGCCGCAGCTGGAGTACTGCGTCCAGTTTTGGGCTCCACAATTCAAAAAGGATGTGGAGAAGCTTGAGAGAGTGCAGAGAAGAGCCACGCACATGATCAGAGGTCAGGAAAACAGACCTTATGATGAGAGGCTGAGAGCCATGGGACTCTTCAGCCTGGAAAAGCGCAGGCTCAGGGGAGATCTGGTGGCCACCTCTAAGTTTATCAGGGGTGCTCACCAGGATCTGGGGGAATGTTTGTTCACCAGAGCGCCCCAAGGGATGATGAGGTTGAGCAGTCACAAACTCTTCTGCATCCGTTTCAGGCTGGACATAAAGAAGAACTTCTTTACTGTCCAAGCCCCCAAGGTCTGGAATAGCCTGCTGCCAGAGGCGGGGCAAGCACCTACTTTGAACGCCTTCAAGAGACATCTGGATGTTTCTCTTGCTGGGATCCTATGATCCCTGCTGACTTCCTGCCCCTGGGACAAGGGGCTGGACTTGAGTATCTTCTGAGGTCCCTTCCAGCTCTAATGTCTATGAAATCTATGAAATCTTCTTTTACATTAGCAAGAATTATTCATGTCATCATCTTTGAGCTATAGTTTGGAGTGATTGCTCCCTTCTCATCATCATTAAGACTGCATTCATTGTCTTGTTATAATTATCCCCTTTGTATCTCTTTAAAAATAATAAAGCAGTATCACCGAACAAAAGCCTCTCATCTTTTGCCCTGCCATTCCCCTATGTCTTCAGTGTCTTTCAGAGCTCCAAGGCTTTCTCCATTTGTTTTCTGCCAATGGAAAACCACCAATATGGGTTGTCTACAGGTCTGTAGGAATGTCTACAAGCCTTAGGAGTCCTCAGTATGCATTTGAAAAAGCATGCACAGACCAAAAGGGAATGTTTAAC